GGTTGTGGTGGTTTTATCTTTAGTGCTCTCTTTGCCAGCTGCCCAAGTAACTTTTTAGGTTGTCAGGTATTTTGTGTTCCTTCAGTCACTGTTTGCTGCCTCTCCTCCATACTATCTTCTGGCAGGTTACTTCATGGCTAAAGAAATTTTTTGGGGATGCGCCCATTCTGCAGTACGAGGCGAACGCGCAGACCATCGATATCCTGTACGAGCTGGTTGAGAACAATGAGGCCTGTGAAAGGGATGCTGAGTTGCTCATTGATGACATGAACCACATGGCAGCAAGTTACCAAGAGGAAGGTGAGTGCAGGCCTGCAGTTCTCAGTCCCATCCGTGTCAGGAGTTTTCTTTTGAAATCTCTTTGCTGGGCTGAACAGCAGAGCACTGAAACATTGGCTGGATAGGCAGGTGAGCAGCCCGCTGTTGATTTAAGAGTGTGAACTGGTGCTCATCTCCTGTGCTGGAAGTACTGGAGGAATCTGAAGTAACAATGAGGTGGTAAGTTCTGCTGTAGCTGTGCGGAGTGAGTGCTCGTAATGTGCTTTCCTGGAGCAAGTGCATGATTCAAGCCTGTGTGTTCCAGGAGAAGGTATAGGCTGAGCTCCACAATCCTCCTCAGAGGGAAGGTATGAGTGGTCTCTTCACATTAACATGAGGATAAAAGTTTTGACATGTGGCTCGGTAAGGAGTGGAGCAGCTCTTTTCCACAACCCTGGGAATTTGCTTGACAAGTAGGAATGTGACAGAAGTTTGACACATTCAAGCCCTCTTTTGAGATTACATTTTTGATGCTCTGAGGTTACATTTCTAGAATGGATTGAACTTTAGCTTCAGAGAGCGCCGTCTAGGGCTCAGAACAATGGTGGTATAAAAGTGACTAATTTGGCTTCTATTTGCTTTTCAGCCAAGTATCTAGAGGCTCTTCTCACAAAACACCTGGGCTTTTCCATAACTAGTCTGTCCCAAGAGGGCACCAGTTACCTAAATGAACTGGTAAACACCGCCTTAACACTCGAAATAAAGGACACGTCTCTTTCCAGGTAGTTCTTCCTGCTTCAATTTCTTTAGCAAGGAAAGTCTCTCATGTCCAAAAAGTTAAACCCCAGCCTTGGATTTTATTTATTTATTTATTTAATGGTCTTCAGGGACTTTGCTCTTCTCCTGAGCCAAAGAGCAGGCAACTATGAGCCACTATGATATCTCTGTGACTTCTTTTACTTTCCTCTCTTAAATTAGCAGGCATTTGTCAAATATAGGAACCAAACTACAAATCATTTGTGGGAAGTGTGTGTTTGGGGGGTGGGGAAGGGGAATAATCATTTTAGAATAGCTGGCTCCTTATTCTTTCTAAATTTCTTACTTGACTAGTTTTGTCACTGCCGTAAACGATATGACTTGGGAGCTGTGTGAAACAGAATCAGAAAACAGAGAATTGGAATGCGAATTGACCACCATTAAGAAAAAGCTAACTGCAGCACTGGTGCTGGAAAAACAGCTGCAAGAGTGAGTAATGGATGAAAAAAAGTAAAGATGTAAACAATATTGCTGATCTCTGCAGTGGGTACTTCGTGTGTGACCATTAGCAAGAGTCACTGAATTTGCAGCTTCATGATGCATCGGTAATTCACAGTATTTGACACCACCTATCAAAAGTCATCTACTATCAGCACGCCCAGTAGTCAAAAGATCAAGAGTACCATCAAACACATTATTTTAACCCCAAAAGAGGCTAAAAATACTTTTCACTTGCTGGCGTCTTCCCTGTTTGCTTTCAGCTGAAGTTAAACCTGTTTGGCTTACCACAGTTAGTGTGGGTGTTGCTGTCAAAATGAAGGTGGCAGGCAAAACAGAAGAAACAAAAAATCCTCCTAGATAAGGATCTCCCTTAACCAATGCATGGGAGACAAAAGCAAACACACAAATTAAAAAAAAAAAAAGAATCATTCCCTAAAGGATGCAATCTGTTTGAAATGTTTGGCAAAACACAGCAGCATCAGTCCCTGCTTTAAGTGGGCATTAGTCCCCATGATAGGCACAGGTTTCCATCCAGTGTAATTATTTTCTTTTTTGTTTGTTTGTTTTATTTAAAAACTGTGACTGTGGTGCTGCTTGTAGCAGAGATACTGTAGCTGTGTGCTTACCCAGGTTTGCCCTGGCCCTTTTCTGTTTTTAAGTTAAGATACCTTAAGCAAAGCTCTATTTAGTAAAGTGCACAGTGCACTTTACTAAGTGCGCAGTGCAGAGCTTTACTCTGCGCTGCTAGGCAAATGGCCTTAAGTATGTATATACTGGCATCTCTTTGAATGTAAAGATTTGCTTGTTTTTGTATTTTTTAAGGGATCTTAAAAAAACAGAGGAAGATTTGGAGATAGAAGAGGCACAAACTAAGAGCCGATCCCAGAACTTGAACTTCCTGCAAAACAAATCTGAGGATTTCAAAACCAGAATCAAGACTGCTGAGGTAGAGGGGAGACCTTTTCTAATGAGGCTTTGTGAAGCCCAAATCTGTATTAGCTCAGTTTACCTTGTATTTATTCTGAGGTGCTGTAATATAACAGCATATAGTCAGCAGCAGAGCAACGGACTAACTTGGTTGCTTGTGTGTCAAAATTCTGAATATAGCTATTTTTGAGATTAATGAATGGTTAAGTATTGAAGACAAGCTGTTGCATCATGAACGATTTGTGAATGTGTTATGCAATTCTTGGACACTCCAGTATTTGTCCTCAGACAAATTTGAGGAGAAAATCATTGTGTTAGACAAATGATGCTTTACTGAGAAACCTCGTCATAGCCTTATGCAAACGCTCACCTCCCACTAGTTTTCTGGAAAGATTTGTTGTGAGTAGTAAAGACAGTAGTAGTAGCTGATTTCGTAAACCAGCTAGATGTGTGGTTCAGATAGCACATGTTGTTTTTATCAAACTGTGATGTTTTGATTGAAACCCAGGTCAATGGCAACATCTTTCTTGTTTGTAGGAGCAGTTGGCAGCCATCGGGTTGGACCAGTCTTTGATGCATCAGTCGTTAGTGGACCTGTCAGAGGTAGGTCTCTAGGTACGGGATAGATGTTTCAGCAGTGTTATGGGCCAGTTTTGTTTCTTGGGGGTTTCAGGAAATGTATTTTGCTATTTAATTAGCTGAATATGGAAAAATAGGCCCAATATCTAAACTACTGCGCACTGCCTTCCTGTCGCATTAAAGTAACATTTCTGAATGTAGTGTAAGCCCAGTAGGGTAATATGTTAAAGGAAAACACATGTGTCTTGTATTACTCAGCATTTTTCTCTCTATTTTTTTTTCCTTCCTTCCCTCCCCCCCCGCCTCATTTATTTTCTTGCATGTTAGTTATTTTGAGTTAAGAGTTGTCCTGATGTGGTTCTCCTGAACCAACACTTGGTGGCAGTGTTTACATTGCACAGTATTTCAGAAGAGTATTAACCAACAATCATTTGCTTTGGAATTTTACATATTAAAAATTCTGGGGATTTTTTTGTAGGTCTCAAGTTTTATCTGACCTTTGAATTCCTTTGTAAAGGGAGAGAGATTGATTTATACCTCAGCGTTCAATTTGAGCTGAGTTTGACCGACTGGTAACTGTGATAACTGAAGGAATGGTGGATTTTTTTTTCTGCAACTTCTGAGAGAGATCAGCAGAGCTGTAGCCAACATGTGTGGATTCTGAAATGCTGTAGATACTTGTAGATCTATTTCATTGATTAACATAATTTACACAAGTAAAACTAGAATAAAATCTGCTGCTTTGCTCTGTTCACAGGAACTGTCTACATTAGAAAAAGAAGTTAAGTCCTTGGAGAAGCAACTGGAGCCCTACTACGATTTAGCTCCTGTAATTATTTTTTCTCTATTCGGTCGTATTGCCATCAGATTTGTTTTAATGAAGTTCAAAATGTAAAGGTTACTGATGCAGTGGTTCCAGTGGGCAAATATTTGCTTTTTTAAATCTTTACAGGTCTGTTAATGAACTGTGTAAACACAAGGTTGTGCTTAAACAAAAGGCTATTTATTTGTTGATAGGGAAACCCAAGGAACTAAGTGGGTTTACCAAGCAAACTGTTTTCTTCTGACAAAATGCATGTGAATGTGACAGGAACAGAATAGCTGGGTGAGCTCAATATCAAGATGAACTAAAACTGGATAATTTTGGAGGAGGAAAATCAAATTTATTAGTATAAAAATGCCTAAGATTTAGCAATAATTTGAAGCATACTGATCAGGCTGTCAGTGTGGTGGACACAACACACCATGCGGGAGTTGCAGTTCTGAGCAAAACTTGAAAGATTATGAAAAATATGCAAGTGTAGGCTTTGTTTCCTAAACCTGTATTTTGACTTTTGAGTATTGGCTGCTACATTTCTGTAGAGAGTGCTGGATGCTCAGCTCTTCCAAAAAGCAAGTCTCATTTGGGTGTCAGAACTGCTATTTTGAGTGCCCTTGTCTGTGTAACTCTTCATTTTGTGTTTTGGTTATTGTCATTATAGTGTTAGGAGTTACTATCAGGCTGGCCTATGAGGCACTGTTTATTTAAAGGACTTTGGCCATTTCAAATTAGGGAGCCTTTGTTTCAAAAGCCTTTTAATTAAGGGGACTTCTGTACACAACTTTACAGAGACTTAAAGAAATTGCAGGTAATTGAGAAGTTATTAATTCCTAGAACAAAAGGCCTTGCTTTTGCCTGAAGTCTGCCCGTTGTCTCTTTATAATGCTTGGGACCACTGAAAATATTTCCCATTTCCTTTGAAAAATGCCTTAACTTTTATGGATAAGTGTTAAGGTTGTCTCTTTGACATGTTTTCCTTGAACTCCAGTAACTGGGGAGAACTGGCTTTTTATTAAATAAACGTGCAATCTAGTTGTAATTAGCTTTCCCAATAAGGCCCCTGTTATCTCTGTATCTAAGTATCCAACAGCCTGTAATAGAGCTTAGCTCCTAGTCATTCTGTGTGAGAGGATAAGGAGACTGAAAGTTTTTATGAATGGGGCACAGAGGTCCAGAAAACCAAAGACTTGCCCAAAATTACTAAGAAAATGTATGATGAATTCAGTCACTTCTGTTGTAGACTAGGGACTTGCCTGCTGGACTGCCTGTCTCTCTTCACCTTCTCAGTCCCTGCATGGAGTTTCTGTCTCTAAACACCCCAAGGGAGATGGATGCTCCATCTCACTCTGAGGCAGCTGCCATGATTTTCCTTAAGCAAAACAGGGCATTCCAATTGGACTACTGCCCTGCTGCCCCTCTGTCTTGCTGCCGGTGGAGACAGGGAGGGCCCTGGTGCCTCCCTTCTAGTGCAGGAAGTGGGAGGGAGAAAGGCTTGTCCGTTCACACTGCTAGAAGCTTTTTATCCCTTGGAAGATTGAAGATATGTTTAAAATTTAGTTCCTTGGCTGGCAGTTGTAGGAAATCTGTGTCTTCAAGGTAAGACCTAATGTCTAAACTTTAGAAATGTACGTGACTGCCCCAAAATTGATGTCAGTACTTTCTGTGTGTCAAGGGTGTACACAAAACCAATCTCACTATTCCCAAATTCCCCTAGAGCATGACATTGAAGTCTTGCAGTGATACAGGGACTCTGCATTTCAGTCTAAAATTCCGCCTTTTTTTTTTTTTTTTTTTCCTTCTTCAGAATCCTTCCCTCGTGAAAGTGAAGATTGAAGAAGCAAAACGGGAACTGGTAAGAGTTTATATTTTTTTCATAGAGATGTAAGTGGCTGCTGTCGTTCCAAAACAAGCTCTATGCATTAATTGGTTGTGGATTTATCTACCTCAGGCTGTAGTCCTAATGATCTCCAGAGGGAAATTGTATTTTGGTAAGGTAGAAGCAGTGCATGTTGGTAGGAGGTAACTATTGGAGGGATGAAGTCTGATGCTGCAAAGGCAGTTGGGTGTAATGGTAACAGGGAGGATTACGTAGGTAAATTCCTCTGGATTTGGTCTGCTTCACCTGCCAGAGTTTTCATTCATGTTGCAGCTTCCTGGTCCTATGCCCTTCATCGCTTTTAGAGAATTCAGAAGTGTCAATAAGGCCTGTATTTTGCTTAATAACTGGATTCTCAGAGTAATAAGGCCTATGTTTTGTTTAGTAACTGCTGTGTGGCCTGCAACAGAGACCTTCCCCTATAAAACACTGTGCCTGATTAACCATGCTTGTGCAGCCTGCAAGTGTGATCGCTGGGAGATGTTTCATCTAAAGCTGTTTTGGAAGTTCATGTGTAGCTTTTCAGGAGGAACCAGGCCCAGTTTAAGCACAAAATCTGTCTTTGTCTTTAGGCTATGTCCTGTTTGCTTGTAGACACAGTGCAGGGTGTCAGGGATAAGCTTTAAAGTTGTGGTCAGAATCCTGGTTACCTGAGAGTAGTCGATACATTTTTTTGATGCAATTGCATGGATTGGTGAGGCACCTATTTCTGTTTCCTAAACATAAATCCATGTTACCAAAATGAGGCCTTTATTAGATCAGAATGCTCACTCTGGAGTAAGTATCTACCCATTCATCTTTAAAGTCCCTCTTGGGCACAGTATAAAGGCCATTCGGCTCATTTAGCCCTTCACTTGATGATTTCTTTGTTAGTTCTTGGGAAAATGATTTTTTTTCCTTTGCGTTTTAAGCTCAGTAATAAAAATCCTCTAATTTGTCACCATTCCTTATTTATGTCATGTTGCAAGAAACTCAGAGATTGGGGCATGGAGTTGCATTTCTACTCGCCCTGAAAGTTGTTTCTAAAAACTCTGCACCTCAAGGCCCGCAGGGCTTCATGGACTGTGAGTGTCCAAAATGCCCTGCTCGCTCCATGTGCCTGGATGGAAATATAACTGCTACAGCACAGGTGAGGCAAACCTGTTTGCCTTGTTGTGATCATATAATTTTGATGCATAAAATGCCTCGTTTAATTCCTTAGATTACATTTGGAAATTGCACTGCATGCAGTGCAGTATTGAAAATACCAGGCAGCATTGGCTCATTTTTGTCCCTGCTCTTTGGTGGATTGCTAACTTCAAAATCGCTTATATTGTCAAGTTGACATTTGCAGTAGTAGAGAAAACTTAGAGCTCAACGTCAGAGTTAACCGGTGCTAACAGTATCACCAAGGTCTGGGCTTTGTAGAAGTATTTGTCTAACAAGAATGTTAGGAAACTGTTTTGCAGTCATTGAATCTTCCTGTTTCTCTCTTGCTAGGATGCCCTGAAAGCAGAGGTGGCAGCGCACGTTAACAAGCTGGCTCTTTCCATGCCGGAATCCAGCAAATTCTAATTCACCTAAAATGTAGGCGATGAAGGAATGTCCTTTCTAACTGTCTGTTTGCACTAGTAAAACCTATCAGACTTGTAAATGTGCTTTTGCAGCTTTCTGCCTTTCTCTTCTTGCTGTTGGATGGCACACCTGTGATCTTTCAACAAGCATGCTCATTTTTGAGGGTTTATGTAGCCTTGCATTTGTAAAAATGACTTTTTTTTCCATAAAATAAACTCCTGTTTCCTTAAATGTTTTTCTTTCTCTGTAGCTGATGCAGATCTGTGAGTTTCCTCCAGATGGCACCCTCATCAGGAAATGTCCATCAGATGTTGCTTGACTTTTTTGCCCTGGCAATCTGGGTTTTCCCCCATCCTCCCTGTCCAGGCTCTGGAATTGTATTTTCCCCACCACAGGGTAGCCCCATCCATGGTGCAATTATAATGTGACAGACTGTTTGCACCTTCTAGATCATTGGGCTTTGGCTTATTTGTTTTTTTTCTGCCCTGCCAGCTCAGAACTGGGGACACATCAAGCTCTTTTGACTCCTAGCATGTCTAATGGTCATCAAATTTGTGAAGACGAATTCTAGGCTTATGTCTAAAGAACGTGTATATTTGGGTATTTCAGGCATCAAGGAATTTATCTGCTCCCTTCCATTCAGTTTCTTTAGCAAGGAATTGATATATTAATCAAAATGTCTGATATGGAAAATCTGACCTAGTACTTGGTGTAGTAGTTCCTAGAGCCAAAGTCTTGCAGTGTGAGATAGCCAACCAAGAGGAGTTTCTTTTCTCCGTGTGATGGTTGTCTCCTTTATTGGGAATGGTTTGAGCTCTGACTTAACTCATGTGAGTAACAAATTCTATCATGTGGATCGCTCGGTAACAAATTTGTGAGGGTGGGTAAAAGCACCAACCCTCTAAATATCCCTAGCATCTTTGCAGTCTGAAAAAAAAACAGAAATTCATTGTCCTGACCTGTAGGATTTGTTCCTGATCTAGACTTTGTTGTTGGCAACTTAAAAATATATAAATAGCCCTAATAAAGTGGTACTAGGAAGATGGCTTTAGGGATAGTGAAGTAATAGCTTTACAAACAAAAAAAATAAAAAGACCTTTCCAGGTCTGAAAATATACAGGTATTTTTGCAGGTCCAGTGTGGGGTATGATTGGTTTTAACATCTAACACTGTCTTCTCAAACAAGTCCCTAAAAGCCACCTCTTCCCTCCTGGTGACTACCACCCATCATCACCCTCAGCATGTAAATACCACTTTGCGCTAAAAGGCAAGGCCCAATAGTTCCTGCAGGAAGAAGCAGAATCCATAAATAGTGGCAATACCTGAGGATTGAGGGGGGCCTTTTGCAGAGGACAGTGTCCAAACAGGAGCAATGCGGATAACTCTAATTGCAAAGTTAAGGAGATTACAGTAACTCCAGAAGCTGTTACTTGCTTCACTGTAGGAACTCATCTCACTGATTTAGAGCAAGGGAGGGTTTCTTTCAATTGCTTGAGCTTGTTCCTTGAAGCAATAGGATTGTGAGATCTTTATCTATGATAATGCTTAACCTAGGGTGCATCTCTGAGGATTTCCAAGAACCTGCAAGCTCCTGACACCAGCTGGAATAAAATGCTACAGCCTCATGGTATTGTGTGCTTCCTTTCACCTTCCCAGGGGAGAAATGAAAGGTGCTCTGGGAGCTGATACATCTGTGGGAATCTTCTGCTGCTTCTTCCATAATAGGCCTAGATGTCAAGGACATCAAACAATGTTTCGGTAGACATGAGGGAGCAATTTAAGAGGGAAAGACATCATGAGGCCCCTCTGTTCATGGCCAGGAGTAGCTGGGGAATCTTAATTACTGGAGGTTTTAAGAACTGAACAGAAATGTTTTGCTTAAACATTTATAAAGGCAGGGGAAGTCGATGGTGCTTTGGCAGAGGGAGATGGATTAGACGACAGCTTGGGGACACGACCAGCCCTGCTTTTTGGTGAGAGCCTCCAGTTTACAGGGCTTAGAATTAGACAAAGACCTTTTATTGCCCATGTGTGATCAGGATGCCAGGCATGGGCAGCTTTCCTGAGGCTGTGGCGCTTCCCAGTCCCTGAGCACAGCCCTGCTCGGGAAACTGGGAAACTCGGGCGTTTCTGCGCCCCTAGGGCACAGAGAAGAGTGTGGGTTATTTCGCAGAACGTGTTGGGTAAGTAACCTGACTGCAGGCATGGACCAAAGAGCTGTCCGAAGGGAGCTGCCTTTTGCCTGCTCACACAGGAGGCCTTGGAGAGAAACTTCCCAGCAGCTGCATCCCATCCGCGTGGGAGCCGCCGGCAGCACCGTTGTCACCCGCACAGCGCTGCTTTTGAGAGACACAGGGCACAGCAAATAAACAAGGCTTATTCAGCTCTACCTGGGGACTTTAACTGAGATCCCTCAGCTCTTCAATTAGGGCAGAACCTCATGGATCTTCATCCCGGGCATCGGATGCCGACGTGGGAGCCCCTCGTGGAAGCAACGGCTCATGAGCTCCAGCAGCAACCGTCTGGTTTTGAACTGTTACGGATTTGGTTAAAGGAAAACTGTTGGGTGATAAAACAATTGTAACAAAGCACTAGAGAAACATGAAATATATGGGGCAGCGTTAAGGCTGTCAAGTTGAAATATATATTTACATGATCACTCAAAAGGTATTGACTCAAACACTGTGAGTCGAAAGCGTTTCGGCAGTATATTTCAGCTATATTTTAATGGACCGTAGCGCAGAAATTTTATAGTTGTTGCAAACGTGCAGTTTTTTATCAGGGGTCCTTTAAGTGAAAGCAAGGAGAACTTTTTTTCATTTGCATCAGTCGGTATTTCAGCAGAAACAGACTAACAATGCGGGCGTTGCTTTTTTAATTATTTTTTTGCAGTTTCGCGAGCGGCAAACGCACTAAAGCCGTTTCCCCCTTTAAAAACCAACGGCCACCAACGGCCACCAACGCCCTTCCCGCGCGCTCGCGGCCCCTCGGGGCGGTGCTGCGCGCCGGGCGGCCGCGCGGGGGCGCC